ACTGGGCCCTGTGGCACACTGTCATTAAGAGAGAAGGAAGACAAGGAGGAACTGGCAAAGGAAACTGATGAGCGCCTGACAGGGCAGGAGGAAACCCAGAAGAGTCTGTGGTCTGGAAGCTCATTACCAGACAGCAAGGATTGACAAATGCTGCCAATAAATCAAATTTCTCTTACTGTGATCTCCAAAAATGTTTTCTCACTTGAATGTAAGCCCGAAGTTTCCAACCCGGACAACTCCAAACAACTTAATGTTTAGAGTTCTTTCTTTCAATACAAAAGTGGCCTTAGCCCCATTTCCAACCTTGGTGGGAAGCTCTGAGACCTCAGTTTCCCCAGGCGTCTCCAAGGCTGCTTCTGCGTCTCCTAGGTCAGACCGGGACACAGCCAGCTTCCTACCGTCTCCCGTTCCCGGAGCTGTTGCCCTCCTGCCTGTGACGTGCCGCTCCCTGTCCTTCACTCCCCCCAATAATCTGCCACCAAGATAGCTGGACATATCCAAACTGCATGAAAGGTTTCGAGTTAATGGAAGGCCAAGGCACACAGCAGACAACAACGTGGAATTTAGCGCACCCTTGACTGCTTATGGCAATTTAAAAGTCATTCTCTGCTATCTCAGCAACCTTCTCACCGGCCCCGCCCCCAGGAGACCCCGCCTCCTGCCATGTTTCTGGCCTGCATCCCATCTCAGCTCCTTTCGCCTCCCTCCCTCCGCTTCTTTTTTTCCAGGCCTCATTCTCTTTTTCTAGGGCACCCAGTGAAAATTCAGATTTCTTTCATCTTATTATTTGGAGTAACTGATCTCTCTTTGTATCCTCCTGGCCCACTTCGGCTAAATCCAGGCAGTTGGCCTTCCTCAGTCAAAAAAGCCCATCTAGATACTTACCTCAACAGAACAAGCAGCTCTCTGGCGACACGCTGCGCTACACTCCTGAAATCAGAACGGCTACGCTTAGTTTTTGTTTTTAATAGTTTTTCCTTTCAGGCAAATAAATCAGAGAAAAACACTATGACTAACAAACCACCACAGGGCAGGGGACCCTGGTGGGTAAGAGCACAGGTTCCGGAACCAGTTCATCTGCATTTAAACCGCACCAACCTACTGGGGCACCTCTCAGCCTCCGTCTTCTCACCTCTAAAAGGCGAGTAATAGCAGTGTCCACCTGAGCGCTCCGTGCTGCTCATCACACGGGAAAGCTGACAGCAATCCTTAGACGTCCTTGGCACACAGGAAGAGCTCGATAAAAGTTAGTTATTCTCTACTAAACGTCAGGAAGTAAATTTAAACAAGTACAAAACTCAACGTTGGTGGAGCTACACGGAATCAGATACAGGTTTACACTACACGTTTTGAATGGTACTGTCCATTGATTCTCTTTTGAGAACTCTCTGGATATCCATGTGAAGAGATACGAATTGTTCGTACTCTTTGATATCTCAGGCCGCTCTTGTATTCCTCAGGGAGATAATCTGAAATGAAAAAGTCTATGAAGGGTGCTTACAGCACTCATCGCAACATCGGAACCACCCAAAAAGCCTCACAGTGCGGAAGTGGCTACGAGTATCATGAGCTACCGACTCGATGTAACCCCAGGTTACCTTTAAGCATAACAAGCAGGCAATGATTAAGGGAGGAAATCTGTAAAAAGCAGAATTAAAATAGTGCTTACCCATGGATTGTAACTATGTAAAATGTGAAAATCTCTAAGAAATCAGCAAGGAAGTTGAAGAGACATCCATGGTTAGCTACATGTTTAGAGAGTTCCTTGTTTTCTGTCAGGTTGCTTGTCAAACCCTCTCCCCAGAACAGCTTGCTCTTAGGCAAGCGTGAAGTGTTACGCTGATTAACAGGGCATTTTGATTTCGGCTGCAATGCCGTGGAAGGATGATGGGCTGTTTTTTGATAAATTGCTTCTACATTTGTATTTATTCATTCATCAAATAACAACCAGTGTCTACGTGCCAGGCACTACACTGTGCCAAGCACTATGTTAAGCAGCAGGGATTCAATGGTGATCAGACTTGGTCCTTGGCCTCCAGGGCTTTTACAGTCTAGCGGCAAGAAAGATACACCGCCAAGTTATGTGTGATTTGGGCACGCTGAAAAGGCTCACGATTCTAGGGAACTGTTTCACAAGGAAAGCAAACTCGTCTGGTGCGTCAGGGAAGATTTCCCTGATGAAAAGTGTGGGAGAGTTAGAAGGGGAGAGCACAGCCAGTGGGAACGCTGTAAGGGGAGAAGAGGATGCATTGTGCCAGAGGAGCCGCAAGAAGGCCTGCAGAGTCGGGGCACAGCCAACCATGGCAAGAGGGCTCCACCTCGCAAAGAGGTAGGAGAAGCGGGAAGGGGCCAGACTGAGCAGAGCTTTATTAAAGATACTGGCAGGATATGAAACGGACTGGGGGATGGAGAGTGTGTGTGAACACTGGAGACTACTTCACAAGTACTGCGGCAGTCTGGGTAAAAAGTGATGGTTGTTTGGACGAGAGGGGTGGCACTGGCAACAGAGACGTACGTGGATTTAACGGATATTTAAGATGTAGAATCAACATGACTAGGAGACTGAGAGACGTGAGGAGTGTGAGAGAGACAAGTCAAGGATGACTCCTAGATTATTGGCTAAAACTGGGTGGGGCAGTGACGCCACTTCTTAAGGTAGGAAATATGGATGGAGCAGGTTTGATGGGGGAAGTTAATGAGATGAATGCTGGGATTTGCTGGGATTTGCTGGGTTTGAGCTGCCTGTGAGACATTCGAGGAGAGATTTCCAGTAGGCTGGAAAATGGATATTCAGGTAGAAGTCTGGGAGAGTTCAGAAGAGAAATGCAGGTTTGCTATGCCCAAACCTAGTGCTGGTCTGGGGAAGGGGTGGGAAGTGTGTACAGAATGAGGAAAGAGATTTGGGGACAAAAACCTGAGAATCTACAGCAAGTAGAGAAGAAACTGGCAAATAAACAAGAGTGGGCAGAGAATTAGGTCTCACACCAATTAAAGGAGGAGCCGTGGAAAAGGAGAGCGCAACGCTGCTAGGAGGACGAGTCAGACGAGAACCATTACTGATCTTGCTGAGAACTGGTTGCAGAGCTGGGGGAAGAGTCACGGGAACCATATTTAAAGTGGGTTAAGAGGGCGGGAGGTGAGACTCTGACATTTCAGATCTGGCTGTAAAGAGGAAGAAAGCAAAAGGTCAGTATCTAGAGGGAAACATGAGGTCATGCTTTTATTTATTTTTAAAGAGAGGGAGATTAATACATCTAAATGCTGATGGAGAGGAGCCAGCAGAGAGGCTCCTGCTGAGGATGTGTGTGTGTGTGTGTGAAGGAACTGTTTGCACAAGATGCCTGTGCGCAGGTGAAGGGATCTGTCACAACTGTGAGGGTCACTGCAACAGGAGCAAGGAAGGCTCAAAGACGGGTACAGATACAGTCAGGTTGGTAGGTTTCGTGTCAGGAAAGCTGAAGGCCTTCACGCTAGCTCCCATCTCCTCTCTGAGGTCGGAGAGTGTGGGAGGTGGTGAGGGCTTTGCAGGTTTTAAGAGTGAAGACTGAGGGGGCAGCTGGGGAGAGCCAGAGGGCGAGCGGCCAAGGGAAGACGGGCCCAGCGCAGAGCACCGTGTCCTCGGCTGCGCTGCTAGGGAGAGGTTTTCTAACCACAATGCTATGAGACTAGAAATCAACTACAAGAAAAAAACCTGCAAAAAACACAAACACGTGGAGGCTAAACAATATGCTATAAGGATTTCAAAGAAGACATCCAGACGGCTAACAAGCACACGCAAAGATGCTCAACATCACTAATTGTTAGAGAAATGAAAATCAAAACTACCATGAGATATCACCTCACACCAGTGAGAATGCCATCATTAAAAAGTCTGCCATCGATGACTGCTGGAGAGGCTGTGAAGAAACAGGAGCCCTCCTACGTGTTGGTGGGAATGTAGAATGGTGCAGCCGCTATGGCGAACAGTATGGAGATTCCTCAAAAAACTAAAAACAGACTTACCATATGATCCAGCAATCCCACTCTTGGAAATATATCTGGATAAAAATATAATTTTAAAAGGCACATGTACCCCAATGTTCACAGCAGCACTATTTACAATATCCAAGACATGGAAACAACCCAAATGTCCACTGACAGATGACTGGATAAAGAAGATGTGGTAGATACATACAATGGAATACTACTCTGCCATAAAAAAGATGCCATGTGGCATCTGCAGCAACATGGATGGACCTAGAAATTGTCATTCTAAGTGGAGTAAGCCAGAAAGAGAAACAAAAATACCATATGGTATCGCTTATATGTCGAATCTAAATAAAGAAAAAAGAAGGTGCAAATGAACTTATTTACAAAACAGAAACAGACTTAGAAAACAAACTTATGGTTACCAGGGGTAAAAGGGGTGGGAAGGAATAAACTGGGAGTTGGAGATTTTCAGATAATAACTCTTATATATAAAATAAACCCATTTATACTGTACAGCACAGGGAACTATATTCAATATCTGTAGTAATCTATAACGAACACAGTATGAAAAGGAATATGTACAAGTATTTATATGACTGAAACATGCTGTACACCAGAAACTGATGCAACACTGTAAACTGACTATACTTCAATTAAAAAGAAACATTGCTAATTTGAGAAATGCAAATCAAAACTACAATGAGAAGGGCCATCATCAAAATTTAAGTCTACAAATAATAAGTGCTGGAGAACACAGAAAACAAACTTATGGTTACCAAAGGGGAAAGGGGGAGGGATGAATTAGGAGTTTGGGATTAACAGATACACACTACTCCTGTATATAAAACAGACAACAAGAAGGATGTCCTGTGTAGCACTATATTCGATCATCTAATAACCTATAATGGAAAAGAATCTGAAAAAGTGTGTGCGTGTGTGTGTATATATATATGTAAAAAACTGAATCATTCTGCTTTACAGTTGAGACACTGTAAATCAACTATACTTCAATTAAAAAATAATACTTGGAAACACATGGCAATATAATTATATTTAATATATATATATAGTATTTTGCACATTATAGAGTGATACAAAGATTAGTTTTTATCATTTACCATCTTTGAGTAAGTTCTCTCTTTTGTCCATGACAGTATTTATCAGACCATTTTTTACACAGTTGGTTGGCTGCAATATAAAACTAAGTTTTCCGTCTTGCTGCTAGTCTTAAAATGGACTGGGTCATAGGAAAGAAGGGAGAGAGGTTCATTTCTGAGTTGATTACATGAGTCACAGGAGATACTGAACCCTCACAGCACCCATTTAAACAGACGACGACTTCATTTTGTAGACAGGGCTACTGAATCTCAAACTCGCCTGAGGCTCTAAGTTTACGAAAGGGCTTGGATTTGACTGGAACATTCACGCCCTTTCCCACACCATAGCATGCAAATTTCTGTAAGTATTTTCCCCTTTTCTGTTTTAAGTAATGGAAGAAAAAATGTTCTGTATCAGTGAATACTGAGAAATTCTACTTTGCCATTTTAATGGAACACCTAGTTTTAAAACATAGAGTCGGGGGGGAGGGTATAGCTCAAGTGGTAGAGCACATGCTTAGCAAGCACAAGGTCCTAGGTTCAATGCCCGGTACCTCCTCTAAAATTAAAACAAACAAACAAAAAACAATTACCTCCCGCCGCCAAAAAAAACCCCAAAACAAAACAAAACAAACAAGAAACATAGAGTCAATACAGATATAGAAAAACTATAAAGAAAAGTAATAAGGCTCATATCAGAAGTATAATCCACTTGTGGTTTTTTCATTATTCTGATCCAAGGACTAGTGCTTAGGAACTTCAACAGCTATCTAGCCAAAGTGCAGAAATAGTTATGATTTGGACAACTTTAAACAAAAAACTCAGTGGTATTTTTCACCACCACCTGCAGCTGGGTTTACAAATGCAGACCTAAATTCCGTATGAGACACAAGTTGGACAACTGTGAATATACTTATGGATCAGTACGAAAGCAGTGTGGCTCAGTGTGATAACTGCTCGACCAGTTTTGAATAACCTTACCTCCTGAGTACCTTGAAGCTGGATTTTGCACACTGGGTCCGTCTGACTAAGAGAAGGGAGCATGATCCAGCAAAAGATCTCTGTATTTTGTCTGACACAACATCAACGCTGTGTGGTCAGGCAGGTGTGTACCTTACAGGCTGTTACAGTATCTGCTGAAATAGCACAAGTAGACTTTCCAATTCTCCTGTCATTTATAACGCTAAGACTTACAAAGGCATATTCAAAGTAGCACAGGAGACCAACCTGCGGCACAGCTCAGTCATGCTGTGGAAAAGGAGGCCTTAGATTTTTTTAAGATTTTACAAATTTAGTTCAAAAAATAATTTACTTCTGGGATGAATCTTAGGGAGCTGGGAAAGCCTGCTCCCATATGCATTGTTTTAAGAGGGAGACAATCTGACATTTACAGACACACTTTGCACTCTCTTCATCAGAAAGACCACCGCTTTTTCCAGAGGATTTGCCTCTTTTTAAGAGTCTACACGAGAGGCCTAGTCCACGGTTACGGAAACAATATTGCCTTCTTATCCTTATCTCTACTCCCGGCTTCACAAGCGTGTCACCCTCCCCTTGCTGTCCCTCCCCATTTACCTCTATGGCTGATCGCCAGCTCCGAATCTTCTATTCCTCTTTTATCCCAAACATACTGACTTGAAAGGGAAACTTTTTTGCTAGCTTTTTCTTTGACTTTCAGTTTCAACTTGCGTTCACTCAGGGCGGCTATGCAACCTGCACTTACTTACACTGACTGTGCTTTCCCTTCCTGACTGAAAGCAACTGAGGTACTGCCTCTGTGGTCACTGAGCAGTAAGGTTACTTCGGACCAGGCGGGCTGGGGGCAGGGCTAGGCTGGGGAGGCAGCTGAAATAAATTTCATGGCCGAAGCTAATGTCTGGCTTTTAAATCTCATATGCATTGCAATCTAATTCTTATTAGGAATAGAATCAATGTCTGTAGCTAAATACCATAGTTGTTAATTATTTGAAACAACTCTGAAAAAAACCCCGCCAGTGATTTAGGAGGGCTAGCATTTCTTTTTACTCTTGGTTCCACATTTAAAAATTACACTGTCTGCATTTTGAACTAAGTGAAAGGGCTGACAAAGGTCACTTCTCCCTTACATCTCAAAGACAAACCAGCATTAAGTCTGCAAATTTTAGATACAGTAGTCCTCAAATCACCATGACTAACTGGAAAACAATTCTGCCAGATTAAGGATGGAGAGAGGAAAAATGACTATCAGAAAGCAGAAATGTTTATCTGAAATAACAGGTAATCTTAGCAAGTTATCAGCTTAAGTTTTAAAACTGCAGAGCTTTGGGTGTAAGAAAAGAGTGTGTGTATGGCTAGCAGACAAGGTGAAGGAAAGCTTGTTATCAATTCAGAGCAGCAAGTCGACCCACTCACAGCCATTTATTCGAACAAAGTTTCCTCTGTCTTAAAGCACTCCAGGATCAGATGGGGAAAGACGGGCTAACACCATCTCTAGGATATTCAGATCCTGAATGAGGTTGGGTCTTGATTTGCTTCTAGCCAGTTGGATCTCTTGAAATACGTGGGCTAAGCAGTAAGTTTCTGGCTCTTCTCTAGTCTTCTTGCATTCCTCTAGACTTCACATATTCCTAATGTGTTTTACAGATCACTGCTTTTCCTTTGGAATAAGCCGAGGTGGATAAGGGAGACCAAAAGGGAATGAATAAACGTTAAGACAGCTTGGTTTTAAGGTTTTGGTACAAAATGTGAAGACATTTTCAGAGAACATACTGCTCTCAGGGGAGGCTGAAAGTGAAACTTTCCGTTAGGATAATGCGGGGGGCAACATTCTTTCAGGAAAAAGCAAGAACCCTAAGCTTCCCTGTACCAGGCATCTTCCCTCAGGCGCCGAGCCTGCAGCCGCCCCATGGATGGTGGCTGCCAGGGAGAGGAGACTTCCAGAGTCACAGGTGTGATTTCAGCAGCTAATCTGCAGCAAGTCTGGCAATGAGGTCCTTCCACTCTGCCCTCTTCTTGGTGATGTAGGAAGGCGTGAGCAGCTGCAGCAGGGATGCTGGCTGCTGCCTGAAGAAGTTCTGACACAAGGCCTCAGTGTTACAGATCACGTACATCCCACAGTCATAGCTGTTTTGTTGAGCAGGGGCTTTCTCTTCCACAAAGTCCAGTTTGTCTCCTTTTTTGCCTAAGAAAGCCTCCAGTTTCTCTGCTACCTGCTTTGCATGGACTGAGTTGCTCCTGCTGTGGGAATCATAATGAAAAAAGCTATTTTTATCTTGGAGATAAACCAACAAACTCCAATGGGTTCCCCCAGCTGCCTGGTTGGAATTATCATTGATGGCTAAAAACACAACTCTCTTGTGGGGGAGGTCCAGGGGTTCAAGGAACATGGCCATCTCTGCTGGGTTGCCAGTGCACTTGATGAACTGGGTGACTTCCGGGCTGATGAAGCAGACGTGGTCAGAGCAGTCACGAAACTGACTGTTGGCAAAGTACTCAAAGGCAAACCCGATAATATGGTCATTGAGCCAGCTTGGAGGATCCAACAGTGAGACATCTGACTGTCGCAGCAGACTGTCCATGTAACTCAAGACCACAGGGTCCATCTTGTACTGACCAGGGCTGCTCAGAAATTTCAGAAGCTGAAGGAGAGGCAGAAGACAATATTTACTGTTGAGTATGACATGTGGCTGTAAAATGGGGATCATAAATAGCAACTCCTCTCACAAAGTTTTGGCAGGTTTAATACAATTGTAAAGTGTTTAGCAATGATGCCTGGCTAGGGGTAAAAATAAAAAAAAACTCCAGTTCATGTGCTTTATGTTACAATTAGAATGAAAACTTTGGAAATTTTCCATCTGAAACAGTAAATGTAGATTTTAAATTTCCTCTTTAAATGCAGAAATTGGTTAACAGTGTAACTAATGTTTTAGCAAACTCGATAGCATTAATGGTATATTTGGCCCTTAAGCGAATATGCGTGGTAACAACGGCAAATTATTTTTATATTAAACATGAATTTTCAGAGTCTAAAGAAAAATATTAATTACTAAGGGAAATAGTCTCCATTTCAACATTAATTTTCAAGAGATAAGATAAAATATTACTTCCTCATTCCATAATGGAAAGTGACAGTGATTAGAGTTGTAGTTAAAAGACACTGTAATTTCAGGCACAGAAAATTATGAGAGTAATACAAATGAAATTTGTTCATGATTCTATGAGCATAAGTCATATAATATGTTTTTGCCCATTTTCCATCTTTAACCCCAAGGAGTAAGATAAAGACTACATGATGTTATCATGTAAATTAGAAATTGTCTTGGCATTGAAGGTAATGTGGCACAGGAGTCAGAAGACCTGGGTCAAGCCCTAGTTCTACCTCTGATTTGCGGGTATCATCCAGAGCAAGTCATTAAATGATTTTATCTTTGTTTTGTCATCTTTAAAAAAGGGCGTATGTCTGCTTTATATGCCTCAGAGAGTTGTAGAAAAGGCCAAATAATTTTACTTGAAGGTATTAAGAGTATAAAATGTTGTACAAATAATATTTATGTTATTGACTGGATGATCAGACAATCTGGATAGAGCTCCAAACCAATCAATACAAATGAGGTTTGTAAACAAATACTCATTCACATTATCTTATCCAAACAAACGCATGACTCACTCTGAGCAGGAGCAAGACAAGTCATGTGAGAAGACTGACAGGCTCATGATCACCTGAGGGAAGCTACTAACAGAGGCAAGAAGTCTGATAAGTGTGGTAAGCTTTGAGCCTAACAGACAACAGTTCACTGCTGTGCATTGACTTGGTGGCATCACAATATTCTAAATAGCATAAAGCAATAAACTGTCACATGCAGAGTGAGAGGACAAAGCAAAGTGTACTGTAAAAAAATAACGCTGTGAAAAGTTGGGCTAGAATAATAACATCAATTAAATCAGTTCTGGCCATTAGAACAGCTGTTTTACCACTTGGTTACACTACTAAAATTTTAAAACTTTGTGGTACAACCATTTTCATGCAATCAAAACCCTGCAAAAACCAATACAGAAAAAGAAATATATCTGCAAGAAAAAGAGCTGAAGTAATGAGTAGGTGTTTTGTTCACAAAGTATATCATAATATCAATTACTTCAGAAACAATTTAAGGCTGTGTAGGAATCTATCTATCTACCTATCTATAAAAACAAGATGGCACAAAGTAAGATTTTCTTAAAAAGAAAGAATAACTTGAGCAGATACATAAACTGGAGCCAGGAACGAACTTAACAAGGCATAGAGCACATTTGTTATGGGTGGGCCACAGATCTGGCTTTTAGCTTTTTGGCAGCTAACCAGAGTGTTAAGTCAAACATTCACAATGTCTATAAAATAAAACAATCGCTCAGGAGAGTTAAAAGCGTTCTCTGTATGAAGGTCAGACGGATTTTTCTAAAGAAATTTTCAGAAAAGACACGGTGTATCATAATGAATGTCCCATAATATCCTGATGAAACACGAAATAGTTTCAGAGGGCTGTTTTTTTTCTAACTTATTTTTTAATTTTTAATTTTTCAAAAAATAGAGGTACTGGGTTTTGAACCCAGGACCTTGTGCATGCTAAGCACTGAGCTATACCCACCCCCAGAGGACTGTTTCTTATAATTATCCTTAATACCAGTCTGATGGCGTAAATCTGGAGAAAATTCTAATTCAAAAAAGATACATGTGCCCCAATGTTCACAGCAGCACTTTTTACAACAGCCAAGACATGGAAGCAGCCTAAATGTTCATCAGTAGATGAATGGATAAAGAAAATGTGGTATATACACAATGGAATACTACTCGGCCATAAAATGGAATGAAATAATGTCACTGGCAGCGATATGATGAACCTAGAGATTATAATACCAAGTGAAGTAAGTCAGAGAAAGACAGATATCATATGATGTCACTTATATGTGGAATCTAAAAAAAAAAAAGACACAAATGAACTGATCTACAAAACAGAAAGAGACTCACAGACATTGAAAACAAACTTATGGTTACCAGGGGGCAAAGGGGAGAGGGAGGGCTAAATTGGGAGTTTGGGACTGGCAGACACAAACTACTATGAACAGAATAAACAACAAGGTCCTACTGTATAGCACAGAGAACTACATTCAACGGTTTGTAGTAACTTGTAATGAAAAAGAAAATGCGGGTCTGTGTGTGTATATATAGCTGAATCCCTAATGCTGTACACCACAAACTAATACAACACAGTAAATCAACCATACATCAATTGAGAATAAAAAGCACCCCTCGACCCCCCACAATCCAGCCTGATGGCAAATGAGCAAACAGTAGTTTAGTAAGAGCAGCTGTGGGGAGCCTAGGTGCTCAGGGGCTGCTGATCTCACTGGACTTAAGATGACATGACTATGCAATGGGAATGACTGCACATGCATCGAGCAAGGCTCCCCGCCTCTCCCCGCCACGGCTTCCACGGATCCCACGACTGGTGACGGCCAGACTGTCCTGCCTGGCAGAACCTGGAGACCTGTCTCTATGCTGCCAGCTGAAATCAGATCCACATCTTTACCCAACCACACAGATAGGAGCCTACAAAGAGAAGAGCACCTGAACACATAGGCATCTCACCTCAGAGGGAGTGTCCATAGGCAGGGTCAAGATTTTCTTCAGAAAATAGTTTTTGTGTTTTGTCTGATTTTGAAAATATCCAACATACAGATGATGGGCCAGTCAAGAACTTCTATTCCAAACAGCATGACTGCAACAGTTAACATCTAATAATAAATTCTAAAGCAAATGGAATCAAACTGGCCTTTCGCCAAACTATCCTTGGCCAAGAAAAAGGACTCTAAATTCCACATCTGAAGACTTGAATTTTAGACTCTGTTACTCATTGGCTATGTGATCATTAATAAACTATTTCATTTCTTTAAGTCTCAGTTTCGTCTTCTGTAAAGCGAGATTAATACATGACCTTTACATAGGGTATTTGTCAACACAAAATGAAGAACACAGGTAACTAAGATTAAAAAAAATAACAAAACAGTATTTCCAGGTATCTACTGTATCATCAAGGAATTTATACCTTAACAACTGATAACTGTAGTGTGCTACATTTAACAAACGTTTATTGAGTGCTTACCATGAGCTGGGGCTGGAAAATCAGAAGGGGAGCAAGATAGGCAGTTTCTGTCCTCACTGAGCTTAAGCCTATTATGTTATAATGAGCCTCTTTTATGTACATATACACCTCTTTTAGTCAATAAACACCAACTGAGTATCTGATATTAGGTGGTGCTGGAGATACAAAGATGTGTCAGGTGGCTTATATTCAATGGAAGAAGAAACCCATAGCCCCAAATAAAATGAATGGGAATTCCAAAGAGGGAAAGCGCAGGAGAGCTCAGATCAGGAAAGACTCCAAGGAGAAAGTGGCATAGAAGTGGGCTCTTGAAAGGCAGGTAGAGTTGGATGCATGAGAAGGGTATTAAGGAGGCAGAGGCATGGAAAGTAATACACTTTAAATGTGTAGCCAGGGGTGGGGGGAAGTATAGCTCAAGTGGTTGAGTGAACGCTTAGCATGCTAAGATGCATGCATGAGGTCCTGGGTTCAATCCCTAGTACCTCTTCTAAAAATAAACCTAATTATCTCTCCCCCTACCCCCCCACCAAAATAAAATAATTAAATAATAAAGTGATAAGTCAATAAATAGACAAATAAAATACTAAAAAAAATGTGTAGTCCAGTCTGGCTGGAATGAAGTGGGAATAGGGGTGTAGCGGAGGGTTAGAGAAAGATTATTAGATGTTACGTGTTGATGGGCTCAATGAAGAGGTGAAAAGCTTGGAACTTATTCTGGAAGAAATGGGGAGCCATTAATGGCAAAGCTTTGGAAGACTGATGATAACTGGCAGGAAGTGAAACTGGAGGTGGAGATCAATTAGATTCTTATTGAAAGTAAAAGTAGGACATGACCTAAACCAGGGGAGAAGGCAGTAGTGAGACAGGCTGGGACCTGGACCCTTTACTGCAGTTCTTGTTCCTAGACAAACGTCTCCTCTAACAACAGAATACATAGAAACTTTAAGGGACTAAAAATAACTTCATGTATGTGCCACTGGAGCAAATTACCAGCAACAAGATACAAAAAACCAAAACCCAACTGCCACTTCTGAGGTGTTGGGAGCAAAAGCAGGGTACTGAGCATGATCCAGCCACAAAGCACCACCAAGGGGGTGGGCAGACGAACTGAGCTGCCCCTCCGGCCTGACCCACGGACCCCCACCTACCCTCACCTCATTTAAAGGACCAGATCACCCCCGCTCAGGGAGCAAGTAAGGGAAACAGTTACTTGTTTTAGTTCCCTCCTGCTACAGCACGAGTCCCAGTAGAGCTTTGCCTGAATTTCTTTTCTGGGCTCTTACCAATTTTTATTGACTAAAGAGTTCAAGACTGGGCTGGTAACAGAAATGGAGAGGCAAGGAGGAAAAGCTATTGCAGACAGAGAATTAACAAGTGATCAGAAGAGGGCAGGTAAGAGAGAAAAGAATTAAGACATGGTCTAGGGGTTTCAGCTGGAATGACTAGAAGGACAACGATCCCATCAGTAACGGGGTGAGGGAAAATGAGATGGCAAGGACCTAGCAAAAGAACCAGGAATCACGTAGAACCGTCCTAGGGACATTTCCCTTCTATATAGTGAACACTGTGCTTGGCATAGCTGCGGTACAGTGTTTGCCAGATGAACGACACATTTTAACAAGGGAGTCAGAGAATACAGATCAGGAAAAAAGGAGAAATAAAGCATTTAAAGATTTCTGCATTGTCTATAACACCCCCATTTTTGCTCTGATTTTGTGTTTTGTCTATTTTCCTCTGTTGATTGATAGTAGTTCCTTTCGAATTAAAAGATTACTTGGTCTTGGTGGACGGTAAGGAATACTGGAGAGTGAATTGAGGAGGCAATGATTTCCTCATAGTTCTACTTGTAAAATCCTATAAAATATAGTATACGTTTATGTTCTGGGGCCAGGAGGCCTTGAGTCCAGACTCTGACTTTGCCACTTGCCATGTGTGTGAGACCCTGGGCAAGTTAATCATCCTCCTTCTGGGCTTCATTGTCTTCATCTGCAAAACAAGGTAATAGCAAAACCTGTCTCAGAGAGTTGGTTTTTGAATTAAAAACATGAGTAAAAAGACTCAGCACACTGGTAGACAGCAAGCTCTCAAAAAACGTTTGTTTCCATCCTTGTTTCCTATATTTGGGTTGGTAATAATGGACTTCAAAGATTTCTTGAAAATAAAGCATCCATTTATCTCTTTATATAAAGCTACAAAGTCACCAAGGATAGATCTAGTCAGGCCATGACTCTGCCCTCTTGTGCTTTACCTTTGGTATAAGCAGAGTGAATGCTAACGCCACATAAAATTGTTCTTTCAACCTGAGCGAAGCAATGCTGTTAATGTGTTGTCAGGATACACAAACCTTGTGATTTCAGGGTTTAATTTATTGTATCTTCCAACTTCTGGAGCTAAACAAAGTGAATAATGAATTCATAGTACATAACACTTCCTAAATATTTAATTTTAACAAAAGGAAGAGGCTAGTTTTTCATATTAATCCTAAAATCCTTACAATGCATACTGCTTGAATATTTCTCTTTATTACAAAAATAGGGCAATTAAATTAAAAAAATAGTAACTTGAAGGAAAAATTTATAAATCAGTAGGAACAATTCTCATTACCTGTTGATGTAAGCAAGGGAAGAAGCTGCAGGTTCAGCTAAGCTGGAAGTCAGCAGACCTAGGATTCTGTTCAGATTTACAATTAACCAGTTGTCTCTGAAGAAATCATTTTAAACCTCTGGGTCTCAGCTTCATCATCTGTAAAGTGAGGTTTGCACCAGAAAAATAGTAGTTCTAGCCAGGGATGCACATCAGAATCATCTATGGAGCTTTTAAAGAATGTACATGATGAGGGTAGGGTCTGGGTACCTGTATTTTTAAGATGTTTTTCCAAGCATTTCTATGATTTCTAAAAGTCTCCTCTAGTTCCAGGGTTCCACAATTCTAAGCTCTCATCTTTCCCAATTTAAAAATCTTGCCATCCTCTTTAAAAATCCTAAAATTTTTCTAGTTTTCTAGTCAAAGGGTCAATAAACCACAGCCCACAAATCAGATGTGGCCCACTGCCTGTTTTTGTAAATAAAGTTTTATTGGAACAAAGTCATACTCATTTGTTTACATATTGTCTATGGCTGCTTTTGAGCTATAAGAGCTGAGTAGCCTGCAAAGCCTAAAATATTTACTGTTTGGCCTCCTAGAGAAAAACTCTGCCAATTCCTGTTATAGACCACTATCATGTACCCCTCTGTAAATGTCTAGGTTGAATTAATTTTAAGAGCTTTTAAAGGTCTAATAAAGCATTGGGGGTATTTGTTAAAATATCTTAAAGGCAGTTTCCAGGTAGATTAACCTTTAACTAGAAGTGGTACTGCTGTTTCAATCTGAATTTTTGATGAGTAAATGCTTAAAAATATTAATTACAGTGGATATGAGTAAGAAGTGTCTACTATATAGATGCATAAGTACTCATTTTATAAGGTCAAAAATATACATGAAGATTTTAATTAATAAGCATTTCATAAGATATGCAGCAATTCTCACAACTGGGAAAATATGCCTGTGGTTACTGAATGAAGCAGTGATCAAGGTAAGTTTTACCATAAAACTCCAAAGAAAAAATGCTACCCCAGAATTGTGACCTTTATTCATTTTCCCCCTAATTACTCAGCAAGGTTCCTTAAAAAAAAAAAAAAGGGAACAGCTTCATTCAGTTACGTTTTTAAAAACGTTACATGCAAAGTGCAGCTGTCCTATTCATTTTAAGCGAGGATTAAAAGTTAGTTTCTAAATGCAGTTCCTCTTTCCCTTCCTCACTCCCACTGGCTTTTACTTTAAATTATATCAAACTGCAAACGCTAACAATGTGGTCTGTGCTCCTTCCTCTAACTGAATACATGGCTATGTACTAGCAGGTATCCACAAACACACACACCAAAGATCAGACACAAGCTAATCCCAGTGCATCTTCCTAGAGCTTCAATTTCACTAGTTTTGGGGGAAAAAAACTAAGCAAATTAACCTTAAATACTTTAAATATTTTAAATACTTAAAGTATCTTAATCAGTAACTTACAATATCTTATTTAACATAAACATGGATATTATGTAGCATAAAATGCAAAATCAGCATAGATTTTTTAAAATAAGAGATTCCCAGAGAACTGCATCTGCGGAGGGCAGCTCTCTCGGCTCACTCACTCTGCGCTGCCAGCTTGGGTACTTCCGTGAAACAGTTTAGTTACTCCCCATACTCGATATGTCTATAACCTCTAATTCTCAGGAACCAGATTCCCTAATAATAAATATAGGCATGAGCACAAGCGGTTATGCTTTAGTAGCCTGTATGTGTATAGGAGCAATATGTGTATTGAAGCAAATGTATTCATTTGGTCAGAATATATTTATTGGTGTTTTCTGTGTGCCAGTTTTGCCTACAGTAATTTGACCAGAAACTGAGCCTAACACTGGAAAGCGAAATACAGACATCACCCCTGAGCTTCTGCCTTTCTTCATCTCTCACATCCAGTCAGTAAGTCCTGATGATTCTACAGACAAAATGTTCTGAATCTGTCCAATGCTTTCCATCTTGACTACTATCACCTTAGTCAAATCCATCATCATTTCTTATCTTGACCTATCCTAACAGGTGCCTTTGCTTCCACTATCGACCCCTCCAGTAAATTCTCCACACAGCTGTCAGAGTCGTTTAAAAATTTAAGT